GCTTAACCAACTGAGCCACCCAGGCGCCCCGCAGTATGTTTTTAAAAACCTTCTGGGTGATTCTCATGCACAGCCAGGATTGAGAAATCACTCCTCTGGTGTGAATGTCTCATTCCCAGCTCTGAGGCCACCTGCTTCCCTTAGGGCCCAGTAAATGTGGGAACAAAACCATAAAGGACACGGAAGGCAGTTGGCCAAGTGGAACTCATTCCCTTAACTGGAGCTTCCATGCCAGGCGCTGGCAACGTAACAATGCGCAAATAATATGCAGCGTTATTTGGTTTGAGTTGCCATTTGTGTGCAGGCAGGGAGGACTGGCATTTGCTGAACACCCAGGCTGTGTGCTAGGCCCTTTACAAATACCATTTATGAATGCGAGGTGGGCGTTAGTGGGCTTCACAGTTTACAGATGAGAACACCCAAGGCCCGGACGGACAAAGCAGCTGCTTCGGGTCTCTACGGCAAGCAAGTGGCAGGGCCTGGATTCAGACCCACCTCTGCCTGCCCCCAAAGCTGCCCCTCCCCAAGTCAAGAGGACAGAGAGAAGACAGTGGTGGTTGTGGGTTTTTTCTGCTCTATTTCTGATTTCCTGGGGCAGGGCTTGGGGGGGTGGAGTTCAACCGTGGGACCCAGTCACGGAGGGCTGGCATGGCACAGCCTAGCCGATTGGAGTATATGCCATCCCTTGGGTGGCTGTGATGAGCCCTGGGATAAACACACGTCCCTACCCCCCCATCCGGCAAGTCTAATCTTTCCTGGGACTGACCTATGCATGCTGAGCTGGAGAGCAGGTGTTTGTGTTGGGGCTGTGAGCCTAGGGTGGCCAGGGGCCACCGGGCCTGCCCCCGGAAAGAGAGTGTGTGCAACCTCAGGCCAAGCAGAGCTAAAGCCAGTGGTTCTCAAACATTAGCATGCATCAGAAGGACCTGGAGGATCTGTGAAAACCCAGATTTCTGCGCTCCATTTTCACAGTGTCTGCGTCGGTAGGTCTTGGGTGGGGCCCGAGAACATGCGTTTCTAACTAGCTCCCAGCTGGTACTGACGCTGTTGGTCTGAGGCCACACTTGGAGACCCATGGAGCGAAGATCCGGAGAGAGGGACAGCGTCCTGGCGACCACTGGCCCACTGCACTTCAGGAATGTAAGCCATTAGATCCCGTCCTTTCGTTTAAAGCTAATGAAACAATCGCTCGGGCAACAGGAAGAGTCAAACCTAATACCACATTCTTTGAGATCTTGCAATGCCTTCTTGGTTTCTAGATCATTGGGAAAGATGAAGCGGATTTCAGTAGTAGCAGGACGCGACGTTAGCTACTAAGAACTTTGATGTGGACATCTGGGAGACAGAGATGAGTATAGGATGTTGGAAACAAATTGTGGTGTCTCTGCCTCTGGGAATTCTTCTAGGGATTCTCCCCAGATGCCCACTGGGCAGAAGCTCCTACACTGAATCCTGCCCAGAGACAGGGGACTGGCTGAGGTGCCGTGGGCTGGCCCCGGGAACCTGCTCAATCTCTCCTACCTGAAACCCAGCATAGAGAACCAGCACTGGCAGGATGACCACAGCAGCCAGCGGGGTGACCACCGTCACCGCCAGAATGACCTCCAGGAGTCCGAAGACATAAATCAGCAACGACCGGACTTTGTCAGGGATGTCCACATCAACGATGTCTGTTTCCTTGGAGAAGTGATTCAGCAGGTTCCCGAAGGGGGTCCGCTCAAAGAAGCCAATGGGAGATAGCACCACATCCCATAGAAGTCTCTGGAAAAGCAGTCTGGATGCCCGGATCCCCCCTAGGAGCACCATGGCCATGGAGGCAAACAGCCCAAGGGCTGGGGAGAGAGAGAGGGTGTCAGAGCAGGAGAGCTGAGACCACCCCCCATCCACCCCATGGTGGCCATCTTATGATGTGACCACCTTGACAATCCCTTGACGGAACCATCCTGTAGTAGGTTGAATAGTGTGCCTCCCCACCCTGCAAACTCAAGTCCACCAGGAACCTCAGAATGTGACCTTATTTGGGAATAGGCTCTTTGGAGATGTTTTTAAGTGAAAGATCTTGAGATGGTATCACCCTGGGTTTAGGGTGGGTTCTAAATCCAATGACTAGTGTCCTTCTGAGAAGAGAAGACATCCAGAGACACAGAGAAGGTGATGTGAAGACAGGTACAGATACTATAAGCTAAGGATTGCTGGCCCCTAACAGAAGCTGGGAGAGAGGCATGGGACCCAGTCCTGCTGAGATCTTGGTGGTGGGCTTCTGGCTTCAGGACTGTGAGAGATATGTTTCTATTGTTCTAAGCTACCAAGTTTGTGGTCATTTCTGTCAGCCCTGGGAAACTGATATACCCCCTTCTTCCCAGTGCTGATCCATGTGCTCGGGATGCGGCTCACTTCCCTCTCTGTTGCTGGGGTGGGGCAGATTTTATCCCTGGCCCATCCAAACACCGCGGTTGGTCTGTCCCCACCCGAGTCCTCAGCTGCCCCCAACAGCTGGGGGCCAAGATCCTGCATTTATTTGCTGATGAGCCAGATACAGACTCTGGGGGCTCCAGGAGAGGGGGAATGTGCAGTGTCCCCACTCCCCCACGCCTTATCTGAAGGATGCAGGTCTGCACTTGGATCCAGGATGTTCGCATGGATGTGCAGGAAGGACAGGGTAAGCCAGGGACGGGAGGACCAGGGAGTCCTGAACACCTCGGAGGGGGCTGGGAGGATGGAGGGTGAGGAGGGCCCGGGGAGGGGTACCTTGGAGGCAGCCCAGGAGCCCGAAGACCCAGCCCCGCAAAGCCGCCTGCGTCTGCCGCCCGTCCACAGTGGGGTCGTCCGCCCACAGGCTCAGCCAGTAGCTGCAGCAGAAGGAGGCCACTTGCTGGCAGAGGAAGAGGAAGAGTACGTAGAGGCAGAGGGGAGCCCCTACAGCCCGTAGGTAGGTCAGGTATATGGTGGCCTTCACCTGTAGCACATGGAGGGGAGACAGGAGCAGAGAGAGGCCCCGGGGGAAGGAAGGGAGGAAAGACAACGTAAGACGCTCAAAGCACGTTGACAGGGCAGATGGAACCACGATGCAGACCTTACCGGTCTTCTCTCAGTGCCTCCCACCTGGAGCACCATCTCTCCTTTAGGCCCTACCTTGCCTCCAGAACCCCTTCATCTGCAGAACCCTCAGAGGGCCAGTGGGGGCCATAAAGGGGACAGGCTGTGGCACTTCCTGGCTTGGGAGTGATTTATTGAACACATACTACAGGACAGGCATGTGTCTCTGCCCTCATCATCATTCTCACCTGACAGATAAGGAAACTGAGGCATGAAGAGGTTAAGACCCTTGCCTAAGGTCCAGCTCCCATGAATCTGAAGTTATTCACACGGCTAGAAGTAGCCAGAGCGAACTTCTGGAAACATCAACCGGCCCCATCTTGCTGTTGCTGTTGCTGACCTGCTCGTGGCTTTCCCTTGCTCTCAGAAGAAATTCCAAACTTCTGGTCTATCTCTCTGACCTTACCTCCTACTCACTATCTGCTGGTCTCATGGGATCCCCTTCTCTTCTCTAGCACCCTAAGCTCCTTCCCACCTCAGAGCCTTTGCACCTGTCCCCTCTGCCTGGAATGCTCTCCCCCTGCTCTGTCTGTGGCTGGTCCCTTGCTTTAGGGCTCCACTCAAGTGCCACTCTTCAGAGCATCTTAATCCAAGCAGGCTCCTGACTCTTGGTTGGTCCACATCTCATTGCCCTTATTTTTTTCTTATAGCATTTATCATTATCTGATATTACCTTGCTTAGTAGCCTGATTGCTGACTGTTTCCCCCCGCTAGTATGCAGTCTCCACCAGAGCAGAGACATTGCCTAGCATGTAGTGGGGGTTCTGTAAATGTTTTCTGGGTGGATGAGTGGGTGGATGGTTGGGTGGGATAATGGGTGATTGGGTCAATGGGTGAATGAATGGGTAGATGCGTGGATGGATGAATAAATGAGTCTGTAGATGAGTGGGTGCATAGGTGGGTTAATGGATGGGTAAGTGGATGGATGGATGGAAAGATGGAAGGGTGGATAGATAAGTGGGTCGATGGGTGGATAGATAGAAGATGGGTAGATGAATGGGTGGATGGATGGATAAGTGGGTGCATGGATGGATGGATGGAAGATGGGTAGATGGATGGGTGGGTGGATGGATAGTAGGTAGATAGATGGATATATGGAAGATGGGTATATGGATGGATAAGTGGGTGGATGGGTAGATGGCTGGATGAGTGAATGGGTGGGAGGTTGGGTGAGATTGATAGATGACTGAGTAGATGGGTAGGTGGATGGATGGGTGAGTAGGATGGATGGGGTGGGTGGTGAATGGGTGGAAATGTAGAGGGACAGAGAAATGAATGAGTAGGTAGGTGGATGGATGGGTGGACAAAGCAACATAGAAGAAAAGAAATAGTATAAGCTGCAGATTGTCCTGGATTTGAGTCCCAGGTTGGTCCCTTGCTAGCTATGAGAACACAAACTCTTTAAGACCTCAGTTTCTTCATCCCTAAAGTGGGGCTATCATCATCTAATTATAGAGTGGTTATAAGCACGAAGAAATATGAAGGGTCTACAGTTTTACTTGGCACACAGCAGGTGTTCAGTAAAGGTGAGTCTCCCTGCTCCCTGCCCAGTGCTGTATCTGATGGGAGGTCTTGAGCCCCGAGGAGTGGGGGGGTGGGCAGAGGGGAGGGAGCAGCTGGTGGTTACCCTGCCATCCTGCACACTGTCCTCTCCTGTTGGCCGTCCTGCCCACTCGGGATCATCTAGGGCAACCCCCGTCTGGGTCTCTGAAGTGGTGCTGTCCTTCCCGGGGACTAACTTCATGGACCTGCCACTGAGAGGAAAGGAGGACAAATCAGTGTCTCTATCCACGGGCTGTGTTTGCACCCAACCCTCAAGGCCACTGGTAGCCACTGAACCCTGAGGTACGCTCTCCACTCACTCATTCACTCACTCATTCATTCTATGAGCATATTGAGCACCACGGGGCGTCATGCCCTGTCCTCCCTCCATGGTTCCTGGTGAAATGCTGTATCTTACCCCAGAGGCGAGTGAGCCTGTTCTTCCGACGCCGCCTCACTGAATGAACTTATTTGCCCAACTTTGGAACTTGGTTTTTCAGAGTCTTCGTTTGGCTTAAGTTTTGCTATAATCATTTTGTGTGCCCCTGCGGTTTACCCTCAGACTTGCTAGTCCAGTTTGGCAGAATGTCAATTTTGCACAATTCAATGTTGAGGACTTCTTGTATGTTCCTTTCATCTATGGAGAAGTGGGCTGCCTTAACCTTGATACCTGCTGAGTGTGAAGCCATGGGCAGCTGACTTATCCTGTCTGTGCCTCAGTTTCTTCAGCTGTAAAATGGGGCTAGTCTATGTCTGCCTAGCTACCAATCAATCATCTACCCATTCATCATTTATCAATCTATCATCTATCATATATTCATCTATCTATAGATTCATCTATGTACATCTATCTATCTATATATCTATCATCTATCATCTATCTATCTATCTATCTATCTATCTATCTATCTATCTATCTATCTATCCGATCTTACGTAGGATTATCGTGCACTGGGAAGACAAGCAGGCTTGTCCAGTGTGTGACCCAGATGTGCTCGGGGTGGCTAGCTGGCATGGAGAGAAACTCTGCCCAGCCTCTACTTTCCCCCAGGGACCAAGGCCCCTCAAGATCCTCCTGGAGTCCCCCGACAACCAGCACTTAAGTTCACACTGCCTGGCACCCAGGGGTCCATTGTTCTGTTTTACAAAATCACTTCCCATAAAAAGGGAGAGCTCCATACCATATGATCCAGCAATTGCACTACTGGGTATTTACCCCAAAGATACAAAAGTAGGGATCTGAAGGGGTACGTGCACCCCGATGTTTATAGCAGCAATGTCCACAATAGCCAAACTGTGGAAAGAGCCAAGATGTCCATCGACAGATGACTGGATAAAGAAGATGTGGTATGGGGCGTGGGAGGATGGGTTGGCCTGGTGGTGGGTATTGAGGAGGGCACGTTCTGCATGGAGCACTGGGTGTTATGCACAAACAATGAATCATGGAACACTTCATCTAGAACTAATGATGTAATGTATGGGGATTAACATAAGAATAAAAAAAAAAGAAAAAAAGAAAAAAAAAAGAAGATGTGGTATATATATACAATGGAATATTATGCAGCCATCAAAAGGAATGAGATCTTGCCATTTGCAACGACGTGGATGGAACTGGAGGGTATTATGTTGAGTGAAATAAGTCAAACAGAGAAAGACATGTATCATATGATCTCATTGATATGAGGAATTCTTAATCGCAGGAAACAAACTGAGTGTTGTTGGAGTGGGGGTGGGGTGGGAGGGATGGGGTGACTGGGTGATAGACACTGGTGAGGGTATGTGCTCTGTTAAGTGCTGTGAATTGTGCAAGACTGTTGAATCTCAGATCTGTACCTCTGAAACAAATAATGCAATATATGTTAAGAAAAAAAAAGAAGAAGAAGAAGGTAGCAGGAGGGGAAGAATGAAGCAGGGGAAATCGGAGGGTAGACGAACCATGAGAGAGGATGGACTCTGAAAAACAAACTGAGGGTTCTAGAGGGGAGGGGGGTGGGAGGATGGGTTGGCCTGGTGGTGGGTATTGAGGAGGGCACGTTCTGCATAGAGCACTGGGTGTTATGCACAAACAATGAATCGTGGAACACTTCATCTAGAACTAATGATGTAATGTATGGGGATTAACATAAGAATAAAAAAAAAATAAAATAAAAAAAGGGACAGCTCCAGGTGGCTGGGTTCCTCTGCCGCGGACAGTCACAATGAGTCCAGCTATGGCCTGGCTGGAGGGGGCTGGAGAAAAGGGGACAGCAGGCCTTGTGGTGAACCCCCACCTGTGTTCTGTTCTGGCCTGTGCCAAGTGATCCCATGAGTGTAGACTCAAGCCCTTGGTGCAGCAAGCCTGTCAAAGCATGATGAACAACAGGGCCAGGCAGGTCCTTAACAACTATGGTGAGGATCTTTCTTTGGAGTCAGTCCTGCTCCCCTATGGCAATGAGACCACTTGACAAACTGTAAGGCATTCGTCATATTTGTGGGCACATTGGTCATTCTATGAACTGGCCACTTGGGGACTTGATCATTTCAGCCAATTGATTATCAAATAGTTGAGGTGAAGTATCCCGCAGCTGAGCACCATGGCGGGCACTCAGCAGGCGTGGGGTCCAAAGTAGTTTGGGCCGCCCTTACGTGCCTGAGATGCAGCAGGTGACCCGGATACCCTGCCACACGGCCTCAGCCTGTGCCCTCCCTGTGCTCAGCACCACAGTGGACTCACCTCTTGGGTCCACCCGCGGGCCTCCCACGTCCAGCTGAGCCTCTGGGGTCCTTGGCCTCGGTCGTGAGTTCTGCCTCTGCAAGGTCAAAGGAGTCTTGTCACGTGATGGGGGTGAGTACTTGGGGTCCGGACGCTGGCTTTGACACCTGCTGGCTATATGACTTTAACTTGTGTGAGCACCTGTTTCCTTCCATCTGGCTCCTGCAACCGCTCTCCATCCTCCCTGGGTTCTTCCGGGAACATTATTCCTTCAGTCACTCATTCATTCATTCATTCACTCAGCAAACACTATGGCACACCTGCTACGAACTTGGGGCTGGAAAGCAGGAGCAAATACCGTGCATGGCGTGACAGCCTTGCCCCAGCAGTTCCTTGTGCTTGGAGTGTTCTTTTCTAGTAACTGCCAGCCAACCCCAGGAGTCACTTCCCCGAGGAAGGACCCTTCCTCTGACTGTCCCCCAGGCCAGACGGGTTCCATCTCCAAATTCAAGGAGGGTGACACTGTGAGTCAACACTTCGGATTTTTACCAAGGTGAGCCACTGCTCAACAGATGTTTGTAGCCAAGGCAGAGCCTGGGGCTGGCGGCCCCTGATTGTGTGTCCTTGCTTTGTCATGGTGGCGGGGAGTCGGGGGGCAGCATCCAGCCTACTCATGGAAAAGCACATGCTCTGGAGTCAAGCTGCTCGGGTTCAAATCCCAGCACTACCACTTAGAAGCCATGTAAGCTTGGGCTAGTTCCTTCACTTCTGCGCCTCGGTTTTCTCATCTGAGAAATGGAGGCAAAGACAGCCCTGACCTCACAGAGGCATTGTGATGATTAAATGAGCTCACGCATGGGAGGACCACTCACTGTGGGTGGGCTTGCATCGGCGGCTTCACTTCTAATGTGTGGTCATTTTTCCAGCACGCATTGTGTTTTCTGGTCATTGGAAGCCCTAGCTACGGGGCATCTGGGTGGCTCAGTTGGTGAAGCATCTGCCTTCGGCTCAGGTCATGATCTTAGGGTCGTGGGATCGAGTCCCGCTTTGGGCTCCTTGCTCAGCAGGGAGCCTGCTTCTCCCTCTGCTTATGCTCTCTCTCTCTCTGACAAATAAATAAAAACAATCTTAAAAAAAAAAAAAAAAAGAAGAAGCCCCAGCTAGCGTGTCGTGGGCTTTCTGGCCTCGAGCCACCAAGTGACCACCTTGCTCAGTCTCTGTAGCAGTTAGGAACCCAGACATCAGATTTGAACAACCCCAAAGCTCTAATCTTGTGTCCTCAGAAAATCTGTCTTTGCCCAGTTTGCCCGTTAGTGGGGCAGCAAAGACTGCATGTGCCTCCGAGGGCCGTTGTGCAGATCTAATGAAATAATGTACGTAAAAGACCTTAGCGCCGTTCACACAAGGTGGCACTGGCTCTGAGGGGATGTGTGACCTCTTCAGAGAGCCATCTGCTTCCAGGCCTGGGCCCCCATGAATGCTGTGGCCAAGGGCATTCCAGTCACGCCAGTGGGGTCCTTGGAGCCTTCTCCCCAAGGGTGGCGGGAGCCAGGCACACACAGCCGGCCAAGACCGGCCAGTACCTCCATCTCTGCTGTCTTCTGGATGTCCAGCTGCATCCAGAAGGCCCACCAGAGCCCCTTTCCTGTGCAGGAGCTCCTGGTAGGGACCCATCTCTGCGATGGCTCCATCTTCCAGCACCACGATCCAATCAGCCTGGGGCAGGACGTGCAGCGCGTGGGTCACGAGAATCCGCGTCTGGGTGGGGAAGGGGTAGAAATTACACTCCTGTGTTTGACCCAGTCTTCCAGGGAGAGCTGGGGGGAAGGGGCAGGCAGTGTCCTGGGGCTCAGTGTGGGGCAGCCCCCCTTCTTGTACTCCTGCCCTCTTTCTCTCTGTCTCAGCAGAGCAATAGAGGGTCTCCTTCGAACGGTGTCCCGAAACAAGAAGACACAGGCTTCCCGTGAACCTGGCCAGTGACCTGAGGCTGAGCTGGAATAGTCAAACCACGGGCCCCAAAGCAAGAATGAACTGTTGTAAGCCACTGAGATTGGGGGTTGTTTGTCATACAGCATTGTCAGAGCCAAAGCTGACCATTGTAGGGGAAAATGAGACCTGGAGGAGAGCGCTGGGGAGACAGACAGGGGTCAGGACGTTCCCCTGCCTTTGCCCTGTGAACACTGACATGTTCTCCCGGACTTACCGTTCCGTGGAGCAGCCCGCTGGGCCCAATGACCTGGTTGAAGACATGCTGGCCAACGTGGGCATCCAGGGCTGCCAGGGGGTCGTCGAGCAGGTACACGGCAGCCTTCCTGTACACGGCCCGGGCCAGGCTCAGCCGCTGCTTCTGGCCCCCGGAGAGGTTCATGCCCTGTGGCCACAGGAGAGGGACAGGGGCCTGGTGCACACCTGCTCATCAGAGTGAGGGCCAGCTCACTGTGCCTGTCCTCTGGGGCCAACTTCCAGCTTCAAACACTCGCAATGCAGCGGCCCCCTCAGCCTCCACTCAGCCTCGCTTCCTGGAGGAGAGGTCCGCACACTCTGCCCCTACGTTCTCTCCTCCCTCCCGCTTCTCCCTTGAGTCTGGCTTGCGTTCTCTTTTCCCCACCGTATGGTCCTGCCTTCCTCAGGGACACCAGTCATCTCCCTGTTGTCCAACCCAGTCCTTCTTTTCATTCATTCATTCATTCACTCCTTCATTCATTCAATCATTCCACTCCCATTTTCCACATGGCTCTGGGGATACAGCAATGAACAAGACCCAGCCCCTGCTCTCATGCATCTTACACTCTAACGAGGGTGGGGTGGGAGACACATCATCAATAAACCAACAAGTGAAATATATCACCTGTGGGTAGGTGTTATATGCTATGAAGGATAATGAAGTAGAATTAGAGCGTATGCTGAACAGGCATGAGCAGGGTTGCATGCGGGGTAAGGTGGTCAGGTAAGGCCTCTCCACTAAGGGGACGTTTGAGTTGAGACCTGACAGAAGTGAGGGATGAGCCATGTGGACCCCTGGGAAAGAGTTTTACAAGCAGCGAGAAAAGCAGGTGCAAAGGCCCTGAGGTAGGAAACGTGCTTTGGGTGTTTAATGAATATCATAGAGATCCATGTGGCTGGAGTGAAACAAAAAGGGGGAGCAATGATAGGAGGTGGGGTCAGAGAGATAAGTGGGGCCAGACCTTGAGAAGCCTTGTTGCCAATCGTCAGGACTTTGGCTTTGACTCTGAGGGAGATGGGAAGACCTTGGAAGATTCCAAGCAGAGGAAGCATGTGGTCTGCCCTACGTTTGAACAGAATCCCTTTAGCTGCTGCACCAGGATTAGCCTATGTGGTGTGAAGACAGAAACAAGCAGGGCAGCCATGTAGGGGAGAATTGATGACGGACGATACCAGAACACTCTGGGTCTGCTCTGAAGGTGGACCCAACAGGATTTGCCAAGGGATCAGATGTATGGGTGTAGGAAAAAAAGGAAAATCAAGGATGACACCATGGTTTGGGATCTGAGCTCTGGAGGGATGGAGCTCTGGTCACTGTGGATGGGGGTGGGTGGGCAGTTCCTGGGGGAGCACAGGTTTGGTTTAGGAGGTGACAGTAGGACAGAAGTGAAGGGCAACAGGCACTCCTTCCTTCTGCAACACCCTCCCTTGGCCTCCAGGATGCCCTGTCCTCCTCCATGGACACTCCTCAGCCGAACAGAGGCACCTCCAGACCCTCTCCCGGGTCCTCTCCTCTTCTCGCCAGGAAACCCACTCATTCCCTTAATAGTAGCTCCTACCTTTTCACTCTCCACTCCCTAATCCAGGGCGGGGCAAACTTTTTCTGTAAGGGGCCAGACAGTAACTATTTTAACCCCAGTTCCATGACAACTGCTCATCTCTGCCCATCATGCAAAGTCGCCACGCACTGCCAGTAAATGAACGGCCGTGTCCGTGTCCCCATAAGACTTCATTCACAAAAACACACAGTGGACTGGACTTGAACCTGGGGGTCATAGTTTACTGACCCCTGCCCAATCCGTAGCTCCAGATGCATAAATCCTGTCTATTGGATATCTCTGCCCCAGACCCTTTGGTGAGGCCCAGAGAGGGGAAGCTATTTGACCAATGTCACCCAGAAAAGCAGGGCAGGGCAGGATGGGAGCCCAGGTCTCCTGATGCCCTGTTGCTGAAAGCCGCCTTCCACCAATCCCTACCACGCCTCTGCTTTTGTTTCTATTTGCAATCATTCGCTCATTAGCCTCTGTTGATTGAACTCTTCCTATGTGTTTGGCCCTGAGCGAGACTCCCAGCTCCCCTGTCTCCTCTTTGTCCCTCCCTCCACACGGCCCCGCAGGTCAGGGAGACACATGGTCCTGAGCGCCCAGCTCCAATGCCTCCCTGTGGCAAGCGGGCCCCGAGACCCTCACCTGCTCCCCAATTTTGGTGTGGACCCCTGCAGGGAAGCTGCTCACGTCTGGCCACAGGGCGCAGGCCTCCAGGACCCTCTCTAGCCACAGCGGGTCCAGCTTCTGCCTGAAGCACACATTCTCTACCACAGACGTGTTCTGGACCCAGGCCTCCTGGGGCACGTAAGCCACGGAACCCTAAAATGCAAACTCATTTGGCCATTAAAAGGCTGATAGGGATGAGGTAGGAGCGATTTTGGAGAAGAAGGAGAAGCGGGGAGGCAGGGGACAGGAGGGGGGGGGAAGGGGCGGAGAGGGAGGGCTTTTAGAATGGGAGACATTCTAGCAGACAGGCAGGGGGGCAGCCTCACCTTGATCCTCACCGATCCCTCCACTTTTGACAGCTCCCCAAGGAGGGCAGACAGCAGGGAGGACTTCCCTGCCCCCACGGCACCGACAACAGCCAGCAGACGACCCTGGGGCACAGTGAGGTTGATCCTGGCAACACAGGAGGGGAGACATGTCCCTGGGGCCCAGCCTGAGTCTGTGCAGGACTGGAACCTCGGACGGAGCCGGCCTTTCCCGTTGGCAACTCATCCGGAGATCCTTCGCTCTCCCAGTCCGTCCGGCGACTCAAGCAGCCTTCTTGCCCCAAGCACGCGCACGTGCACGCACACAAGCGCACACGTATAAGGCACACACACATGCAGCTTCCCACACAGACAAGCGCGTGCACACATGCACACCACACATACCACACACATGTGCAAACATGAACACACGCATGGACACGTATGCGTGCGTACATTTACAAAGACACACAAGCACACCTGTTCTAACTCACACACATGCACACATGCTCACACCTGTATGTGCACACACACCTGCTTGCACCTATGAACACTTGCACACACACACACACACACACACACACTCTCTGTTGTCGCAGGAGGGTTTACCGGCCTTGCTCTTGTCTAGGTTACTGCACTAGGCTGCTCACCACTTGCCCTCTGCCCCTGCCCGTGGGCCGTAGCCCATCCTCCACCCTGTGGCCACAGGGACCTGTTAAAACCCAAGGGGGATCATGAGGCTCCCTTGGCTCAAGCCCTCCACTGCTCCCCATTTCACTCAGGAGAAAAGGTAATGTCCCAGCAGTTCATGAAGGATGCCCAACCTCCTACTGCTCCGTCCCTTAGCTGCTCTGCCTCGGCCACATTGACCTCCTATTTCTCAAAGGCCGCAGGCCAGTGGTTCTCAAGCAGGAGGGATTATGCTCCCCCAACTGTCATTTGTCACACCTGGCGGGGGGTTGCTGCTAGAAGCTGGTGGGTAGATACTGGAGGTTCTACTAAACATCCTGCAAGGCACAGGACAGCCCCTACAACAAAGAAATCTCCAGCCCTAAGTGTCAACAGTGCTGAGCCAGATAAACCTTGGTCTAGGCACATTCCTGCCTCACGACCTTTGTACTTGCTGTTTCCACTGCCTACAAAGCTCTTCTCCCAGACACCTGCAAGCCTCATCCCTTCCCTTTATCATCACCTTACTACTCATGCCTCTCCCTCGACATCACTCCCTTACCCCGATTTCTCATTTGTGTGCCCCCATCAGAAGGTCAACCCCAAGAGAGCAGTGCCCGTGTTTGTTTTCTTCACTCTGTCCCCTGGGCCTCTAGATGGGGTCTGAGCTTCCCATCTCCAGGAGTTCTCCATCTCTAGGAGTCTTGTTCTTCCATCTCCAGGAGTCTTGCTTCCCCCAAACTCTGCCCGGGGCTGGTCCTACCAGTCTCCCTGTCAGCCCCAGGGCAGACTAACCCACCCTCCAGTGCCCAGCTGTTGGAAGCTGCTGGAGCCTCTCGCATCTTCCTCCTGCTGACGGGAGGGGAGTGAGCAGGGAGGCCGTGCCATACCTGTGCAGGCAGGGTGTGCTCCCCCGGGACCAAGCGAAGGTGCCATCGTGAATGCTGATGCAGGTCTCCCCAGCAGCTGCGGGGCGGAATGGGGAAACCAATCGTGCTTGGTGAGTCTCATCACACAGCGGTGCCCGTAACCTCTCCGATTTTATTTTCTAGCTCAAGGAACACATGGCTATGCTTGTCTCCCTGGCCTTTCCGCACGAGGGCAAGGACCTGGTCCGCCCAGAGTGGCACATAGTAGGTGCTCACGAGTCACTGCTGAATGACCGGGGAGAAAGCAGCATCCCCGCCCGTTTCCGTGGTACCCGGCTGCCGGCCTCGTCTGCACGGGCCATCCTGGCGCCAGCAGCCCGCCCCAGCTGGGACCCTGGCATTTGGTCGGGGGGCTGCAGGGGCGCTGCCGGTCCCGTCATCCCTCCCGCACGCCTCCTGCCGAACTCTGCACTCACAGCATCTGGAGGGACTTGAGTCCACAGCCCCAGGGTCCACTTCTTCCAGGCAGAGGAAGGCGGCCAGACGGTCAAAGGACACCCGGGCCTGGGGAAACCAAAGCCCCGGGTCACTGATGCCCAAAGAGCAAAAAAAAGAACTCAGGCTTCGGGTGTCTGGTGCCTCAGGATGTGGAAAATCTTCCGGTCTCCCAGGCTCGATGCATTTGCCAGGCATTAGCACAAAGCTTTCTGGGTCACATGAAACAGTGCGCACGGAGGTGGGGACCATGAGGGTGACCATGACCTCCCAGCCCCTCTCCCCCTTATTAGCATAACAGGGACAATCGGGCTGCCATCCTGCAGCTGAGACCCAGGAGGAGGATGGCGGCTTTTCCAAGTGAGTCACAGACCATTATCAGAAATGATTCCAAACTTCGTCCACCTAGGGCGGCCGTTTAAATGGGGACGCGTCAGCAAGGCAACTTGCTCTCAACTCCGTCACGGCTCAGTGTGAGTGGGGACAGCAAGGGGAGAGAATCCACATAAAAATGCTGGGTATGGAAAGCGAACGGGCAGGCTGGCACGACACTGGGTCCTCTGCCCCTCCCTGCTTCCCTGCTCTGTCTCCCTGCCTCTTCCTCCCTCCCCTGTCCGGCCTCCTGCTCTGTGGGCAGCGTGGGGCTGCATGGAGTCGGGCCTTCCCGCTACACCCCTGCAAGGCTGCCCCCAGGGGGCCTCCCCGCCCCGCTGCCTCACCTGGACCACGGCGTTGATGGAGAAGGGCAGGAAAACCTGAGCCTTGTTGAGGATGGTGAGGACTGTGAGGGTCACAAAAGCTTTCTCAGCATCCATGGTGTTCTCCTCGGCCGTGAGTGTATGGACAGCAAACAGAACCAGTGCGACCTGGGGCGGGGCACACGGGCCGTGACAATGAGCTGGAATGTTCTCCTCCATCCACCCCTCACCCCAAATTCTGCGAAGCCCCCTGGCCTCGCTCCTAGTTCATGCAGCTGTGTAAGTGTTTCTTAAAGAATACGAGTGTTTTGGTGAAGGGAGCTGCGTGTGCGGCCCCCGTTCTAGGACCAGCAACTGTTGGTCCCAGGCATCCAGGGACACCATGGCGTTTGATCTTGGTAGGATGTGGAAGGTTCTAGATGTGGGTGGGACTTGGGGTTCTAGAACGCCTTGGAGATGACCCTGGAGTTGCGGGCATCAGTAGCACTCAAGGGGAGGGCCCTGGACAGTGGTGGCATCTGCATTTCCGGATGTCACTGGGTGATGTCAGTTCTAGGTGTTGGCGGTGTTTCCGTTCTAGGTGTCACTTGGTGATGACGCATGGTCCTTTGGTGTGATGGTGACTCAGCGATCCTGCCAGGGAGCTCTCACGGTTCTGAGTGATGGTACTTGTGGTTCTGAGTGTTGATTGTGTCAGCGACATCAGATGCCCGCCCCCGGGGTGGCGGGTTCTAATCCTTCTGGAAATACTGATTAAGGCCCACCTGCCACCAGCCTTGAATATCTTATGAGGAGTTTGGATTATTTATTTATTCATGCAGCAGTGAGTCACTGCAGATTTGTCGGCAACAGCGTGACTGGAGTCAGAGCCGTGCCTTTAGGAAGGCTAATCGGGCAGCAGTTTGTGAAATGAACTGGAGAACGGGACAGGCCCCGTGCCCCCTGTGGGGCCGCTGCACCCGTGTGACAGCCGGCGTCAGTGTGGACGTGGGGTTCTCCCTCTGCAGCTTCCCGCCCCTGTGGCCTCGTCCCCGTGCCAGACGCCTGGAACCTTCTACAGGAGAAAGACGGACCTTATTAGCCACCGCCGCCTTCGGGGGCATCGTCTAAGTGGTTGGCTAACTCTGCACAAAGCAAGCATCCCTGACAGAGGGAAGGATCTAGGAGAGGTACATTTTGATGGATGGGGTGGTCTGCAAAGAAAAGCTCCAGGATCTGGCCGGCGGGGGGCGGGTCGGGGCGGCAGGGGGCTCCGCCTACCTCATCCCCCCCGAGCATTCCCTCCCTTAGTCTATGCTCTACCGAGAGACCAGGGTGACCTCACCAGAAACGTGGACACTTGGAAGGACACCAGAGACACAGAGAAGAGGAGGTTGGAGGTCCTCAAGGCGCCCAGCTCCTGGCCCCGGATGCGCAGGATTCTTTCTAGAAAGGCTCCCTCCCAGCCATGGGACTTGATGGTCTTCATATTCCTGATGATGCAGCTGGTGAGCCGCGCCCGAGAATCCTTCTGCCCCATGTGCTCTTCCTAGGACCAGAGGGAAGAAGAGGGCAGAGGTCAGGGAAATGTCAAGAATTCTCCTTCTGCAAAACCATCACACCCCACCTTCAGCAAATGCGGTTGATTCTTCCTGCACACCAGGACCCAAGCTGTCTGCCTCTCAGCATCGCTGTCCCCACTGTCCTGGCCCAAATCACTGTCATCTTGCCCCTGGACCACAGGGTGCCTCCTCCCCCCTGTCCCCGTGCTTCTGCCGTGGGTGACAGATGATGCGCCATCACAGAGGGAAGCTCCCAAAGACCAGGAAAGGGGTGGAAAAGGCAGAGCCCTGAATCAGCCTGGGTGTGGTGACATCTGGAAGGCTTCCTGGAGGAGGGAGTGACGCATGAGCTATGAGGAGGAGGAGGTGCTGAGCACACAAAGAATGGGTGGATGAGGTGGATGGGGAAGATGGAGGGGACAGCATGACCCAGAGGACAGGCAGTGTGGTCCGGGAGGGTGTGGGGGTTGGGGGAGGTGGGCTGGACCGTAGCGGGACTTGGAGGTCAGGCAGAGGAGTTGGGGCTGTGTTTCCCTGTGTCTCACCGAGGAGGTGCATCGTCACAGGGGCCGGTGTGGAGAAGGTCTTAGAGGAGGCCAGACAGGAGGCTGGAGCAACAGTGTATGTGAGACCGACCTTCCTCCTCCTGACCTCCCTCCCGCCCTCCCTCCTTCCCTCCTTCTAAGCGCCAGGCGTCATTCTAGAAGCTGAGATTGCATCAGTGCCTATTTCTTCCTGCAGCGAAGGTTCCAGTCGCAAGAAAGAGAGACAGCAGCCAGAAGAGCCAGGCACAAAGTGACAAGTGCTATGGAAGCAGACATCACGGGCCAAGTTGATGAGCAGCTGGGTGTGAAGGGGAGGGACACGTTGCTACGGTAATCAGGGGCCAGTGAGGGGTGGGGGTGGGGGAGACTGGGACGTCTTGCGGGAGGGCAGTCCAGGCAGAGGGAACCAGAGGAGTAAAGGCCCTGAGTGGAGCTTGAGGATCAGGGGGAGGGCAGTGGGGGGGTGGAGTGAGCCGGGGCAGAGGGCCAGGAGGTGAGGCCAGATCCCAGCTGGCCTGCTGGCCACCTCAGCATCTTGGCTTTGACTCCGAAGGAGATGGGAGCCATTGTGGTTCTGAGCTGAGAGGGGTGTGTGAAGAGGCCCGGGAAGGGACGAGGGCAGAAGCAGAGACCCAGGGAGCATGAGACAGGGGCAACGCTCTGGATGCATCTGCTGATAGATGGCATGTGAGAAAAAGATGCATCAAAGCTGGCTCATGGCCCGAATGCTGGAGGGGTGCATCAAGTACCCGAGATGGGGGTACTGGGTGGAAGGCGAAGGTCTGAGTGACGGGAAGGCTCACGCCACCATGTCCCCTCCCCTCCTCACCTCCCTGCACCTCACCAATGCCAGTCCCAAGACCTGCAGGCTCCCCTTCCCACTTCCTGCCCAGCGTGGCCCTTCTCCCAAATAGCACACCTGATGCTGTTTCCTCTTCTTGGTGATGAAGAAATTCAGAGGGAGGAGGCTCATGAAGACAGCGATGGCAGTGAGGGCAGAGGGTCCTAGAAGCTGGAGACAGAGCAGGTGGGATGCCACAGGACATGTCCAAGAGTGCAGCTGACAACCCCAAGGGATTTGGTCAGACTTGGGTCCTAAGGCAAGGGACGCCAGGAAGCTGATGAGAGCAGTCAATGGACACCTGCTGAGGATGGAGTCCTTCTCTGTCATGGAGGGGAACAATGCACTAGTCGTACTGGAGTTATATTCAAACAGGTCATGCTTCTACACAGGACAGTGCAATGGTGCATGTCTGGCCAGAACGGTGAAGTCGGATCTGCAGAATCAGGGTCTGAGTTCAAATCCTGGCCCTGGCGCTTACTGGTGTGGCCTTGGGCAAGTTACTTACCCTCCCTAAGCTGCAGTGTCCTCATCTGTGAAAGGGAAATCAAGCGTTGCCCATCACATATACTAAGTGCCCATGTCATACAATCAATTATTATCCGAGTCTTTTTTTTACCCCTGACAAGGTTGCCAGATTTAGCAGGAAAAAAACCCAAAAAACCCACAACATAGGATACCTAGTTCAATTTGAATTTCAGATGAAACAGCAAATGTCTTCTTAATATAAGTATATCCCATGCTATATTTGGGAAATTACATTTATATTATATTAGATATATAATTTATTTATATTTATTATATCATAATATATATTTATATTTATATTATAATTATTATACCCCATGCTATATTTGGGAAATTAGTATAAGTATATCCCATGCTATATTTGGGAATAAAGAAATTATTCAGTTTCTCTGAAATTCGTATTTAACTGGACGTCCTGTGTTTTGTCTGGCAGCCCTAACCCCCCACCAGCTTCATGACTTTGGGACAGTTATGTTCCCTCTTGGCTTTTGTTTCTCTATCTGGAAAATGTGGGGGTGGGGGGTAGGGTAAATGATTTCTAAGAGGTTGTGACTGAAATTCCACTCAAGGTCATCTACATCCAGTTTCTAGAGAAACCCCACCGCTCTTCAGACCATGGCCCTCAGTTTCCCCTCTCAGCCTGTAAGGACTCTATTTCTGTAATCTCCTTAACAACTGAGCAAGCCAGTTTCATTTATGCAACAATCGTGCCACCCAGTGGCCAAGTTTCGGAGAAGTGCCCAGAAGGCAAACACCAGCCCCCAGCCAGGGTTGGGAAAATAATCCAAGGAGGGTGAGGGTAAGGTGAAACTTTCTCTGGCAAAAATAGTATCACTTGGAAAACATGTTACAGTTGCTAACTGTGGCAACTTTGATGTCCATCCTCCCACTTAGCCAGATTTCAGGGTGACCCACTGATGTTAGGGGACCATCTGCTGAAAGGCCAGGGAAGTGATGGGTGTGTCTTCTGCAGATTTGCTGGGGGGGGAGGGGGGAGGGTCTGTGCGCTCATATGCTCTGCATTTTCCTGTCTTTCCTTGCCCTCTCTCTTCCTAACTATAACATCTAACATTTATTTATTTATTTATTTGGACAGAGAGAGAGAGAGAGAGAGAAAGAGGGAGAGAGAGCACATGCTTCAGAGGGGGGAGGGGCAGAAGGAGAGAATCTTCACTGAGGCTCCCTGCTCGGCACGGAGTCCAACGTGGGGCTTGATCTCACGACCCATGAGATCATGACCTGAGCCAAAACCACGAGTCGGATGCTCAGCCGACTGAGCCAGCCAGGCACCCCTCACATCTAACATTTATGTACTGCAGGTCAGGAACTGTTTGAAGCGATGCTGGGCCCTGGACACAGGGTAGCAAGTCAGAGAGGGTCCTGGCCCCATGCCCCATGGGGTCGGGTCGGGACAGTAGGAGGAGATGCGGTACAGTCACCATGATGTACAGTGAGCGAATACCACTGGATGGAATTGGGGAGTATTCCACGCTCACAGTCAATATGCCACTGATACCCCCGCCTAGGGGTCTCTGAACTATGGCATACCTGCCAGAGATAGACAAAGCAGATGATCATCCAGATGATTGTTATCCAAGGCCCGTTAAGGTAGATGACACTCTCCATCAGTCGCTGTACATCCACGGACACCAGGTTGACCACGTCACCCACTGCACTGACCTTTCTGGAAGCGCTGGAGAGGACCAGGACCTGGGCAGGGTGGGAGGATCGAGACCTAAGTCGGAGGGAAGGACAGGACGAGTTCGGTGGAGTGAGGCAGGGGGACCCACAGCACAGACAGAGCAAGGGCACGGCAGCCTGGCAGGCCTGGGTCAAAGCTGGTCTGCCCTTGCTGGCAGAGGCAGGTCTCTGTGCACTCATCTGTAAAATGGGCCAGTAAACCTCCTAAGCCGCCCTCCTGGGGGCCGTTGTGAGAATTCAGAGAGATGACAAAAACGGAAATGCTCTGAGATCCCTAGAGCATTGGAATGATAAGTCAATAGCATAATACGTCAAACCCTGGGGTTTATGACCATAATGGTGGTCCTTTGCTGAGTGCTCCCTACGTCCCAGGCCCTGTGCTAAGTGAGGAGTGTCATCGTTTTCTGGGATGGAGCACATCCCACAGCCAGATGGAGCAGGGACCGCCGCATTTCATTCCATCTGCAATGCCATGGATAAAACGCTCAATTTTTGTATCACTAAGGGGAAAAAAAAATCAGTGCAATTAACTTAAAACACACGAGACACATCTTGATTTCAGAAGGGTTAAATAAGTGAGACGAGAATCAGTGAAATGCAGAATGACTCCATTTTACAGCCAAGGAAACTGAGGCACAGAGAAGTTGACCAACTTGCCCAAAGTTGGAGGGCTTATTAAAGGCTAGGCCAAGCTTGGAATCTGGGATATGACCAAGGCCAGGCACGAGCTAGACAGGGTGGCAGACCAACCCCTGCAGGCATTTCATGTGCCCCTCACACCCCAACCTGGTTCTCTGGCAGCCTCAGATGTGCCCCGGCCCTGGGGTCACAGTGGACCCCAGCCAGCCTGTTGAATGTGAGGTTCTATTTGCAATCCTCTCTGCTGAGTGTGTGAGGGAAGAAGTAAGGGGGTGAAGGAGTGAGCCCGAATGAATGAGTAGAAAATCTCCAAAAAAAAAAAAAATCTTCGGGGGCACCTGGGTGGCTCTGTCGGTTAAGCATCTGCCTTTGGCTCAGGTCATGATCCCAGGGTCCTGGGATTGAGCCCTGTGTCGAGCTCCCTGCTCAGTGGGGAGCCTGCTTCTCCCTCTCCCTCTGCCTGCCGCTCCCCCTGCTTGTGCGCTCTCTTTTTCTCTCTTTCTGTCAAATAAATAAATAAAACCTTAAAAAAAAAATCTTCAAATCTTTATTGAGTACCTGCAATGGACCTCACAATGAACTGAGTACTAAGAACATAGCTGTGAACAACAGAGGCAGGTGGCTTGTTCTCCCAGGAGCAGAGTTTGAGTTGGGAAGGAAAATTAAATAAAGACTTACATAGTTCATTCTTCTTCTTTTTTTTAAGATTTATTTATTTATTTATTTTAGAGAGTGTGCGCGCACGTGCTTGCGCATGAGCGGGAGAGAGGCAGAGGGAGAACCAGACTCCCCATTGAGCAGGGAGCGACCCGGGACTTCATCCCAGGACCCTGAGATCATGACCTGAGCCAAAATCAGAGGAGTCGGAAGCTTAACCGACTGAGCCACCAAGGTGCCCCATACCTCATTCTTTAATGACAATTATGAGGAGTGTTAGGAAGAAATGTTTTAAAATATTATTCAGTAATATTATTCAATTATTATTATTACCTATTAGCAAGGTAAACTATGGACCAGGGCCTTTATTGTGATTCTCACAGGAAGGAAGGGCCAAGCAGGGGAAGCAGGATTGGCTCGTCTGAATAATCTCGGTGGGCTCTGGGACCCAGGAGCTGTCCCTTGTGGTCCAGTACCTGGCCCTGGGGTGAAGAGGGCAGGTGTGTGGTGGCCCAGAGTGTTGAGAGCACCATCAAGGGGGCGACTGGGAGTGTGAGTTCTGGATTGTTTGGTTGGCATGTGAAAAGTATGCGCCCAGTGAGTCATTTACTACCTCTAGGCACTGGCTAGCCCTGGGCTGGGCAAGAGACCCTCCAAGGTTGCCAACGCCCCTGATAGCAAAGCATTGGATGTAGAAAATAAGAAGACACGGTTAATGCGGTTAATGTGGAGGCAGCCCAGCAGGAAGAGCCGGGGTCTGACCTCTCCAGAGATGAGCAAGGCTTCCCTAAGCTTGAGCTCGGGTGCCCTTGGTGGGGAGATGTGGGTCTGAAACCCAGCAGGCAGGCCATCTGGGGATCTGCCCCTGCAGCCATCCAGGAGCTGTTGCCTCCACTCTGTTTCTCCCCCAGGGAACAGCACAGGTGCGAAAGGATTCTCATGGGGACTGAGGCGCCCTGACTCCGGTGCTCCAGACCCCGGCAGATCGTCTTGTGGGCTTCACTTCCAGGGCTCCCGAGGGGATAAGAGTCACTGCACCAAGAGAAGCCCAAAGCCATGGCTATCCACCAGGTATTCGTACTCCACTGACAGAAGTTTCAGCCCTAATGAGTTTACCAGTAGGTCAGGAGTCATTTTTACCATAAGCAGTGTTGCCTGGTAACACAGCTGACAGCCCACTTCTATCTGGTTTCTGCACAGCCCCTAGATTAGCCCCTTCTCCTCATGGGGGGACGAGGGGAAGGTAGGTACATTAAAAGAAATGGAAAGTGTGTCCAGGTAGTAGGAACTGCAAGTGCAAAGGCCCTGAGGTGGGAGGTTGCCTGGTATGTTTGTGGCTGGAGTAGGTTGAGCAAGAGAGAAGGTATGTGATGTGAAAGAGTTGGAGAGGTCCCAGGGTCAGATCACTCAAGGTCTTAGGGAAATAACCAAGGAGGTGACAGTGTAGTGAGAGTGACTACGAATGAGTAAAGTAATGAATGAGTGCATTTTCAGGCACAGATGATATGATATGACCCTTCTTGGCTAGAATGTTTATACATAAATTGGGACAAGACTGGGGGGACAGGAAAGACCCACCCCTCACCCCTAAGGCTCACCTTTCTGTACACCAGGCCCGTGATGGCCGTTCGCAGCCTCATCTGCAGCACCTTGACCCTGTACATGAAGTGCTGCTCCACCAGCGATTGCAGGGAGGCAGACAGGAACATCAGCACTGCGAGGAGATACCCCTTCCAGGCTGGGGTCGTGGGATTGCCCATAAATTCCAGAAAAAGGCTTTTGAGAGAGGGAGGGTACAAGTGGTGAGAGAAGGCACGCGTGGCTGTCGCCTTTGCCTGAGCCTGGCAAGGTGTGGAGGATCAGACAGCATGGTAGATAGCTTTGCCGAAACGGCTGCAATGGTTTCTCCCACCACCCGCGCGCACTCACTTTCAACCTGACTGCTGTTCCTTCAACCAAGGGGTGAGCGTTTTATCTCCACCTGTCATGGGCTGAATTGTGTCCCCACAAAATACCTGTGCTAAGTCCTAAACCCTGGTACTTTAGAATGCACCTCTATTTGGAGCCCAGGCCTTTCAGGTGGGGATTTAGTTAAAAGAAAGCTGTTAGGGTGGGACCCTAGTCCAATCTAACTGGTGTCGTTTTAAGAGCAAATGTGCACACACAAGGAGATACAGCGGGCATGCATGCACAAAGGAAAAACCGCGTGAGGACACAGCAAACCGAGAGAGAGGCCTCGAATAAAATCAGTCTTGATCTTGGACTTCCAGCCTCCAGAACTCTGAGAGGATAAATATGTGTTGTCTAAGCCGCCCAGCCCGTAATCCTTTGTTATGGCGGCCACAGCAAACAAATACGCAATTCCCTGAATCTGGGCTGGTCGTACAACCAGCTTCAGCCCAGAAAACCCAGTGGAGGTGAGATGGTGTGAGCTCCAAGCCTGAGGCGTCAAGAGAAAGTGCAGCTCTTGGTCCAAAGCTTCGAGCCCTGCCAAGGGGCCATGCGAAGAACAGCCGGAGCAGAGCATACGGAGCATGAAAGAGGATGTGGGGCAGAGCCAAGCTGTCCCAGCTGAGACCATCTGAGACCAGCCAGTCCCCAGCCAGCCGCCCAGCTGACCGCAGGCACATGTGTGAACCCGACTGAGAAACAAAGAACGGCCCAGCGGAGCCCAGCCCAAATTGCTGGCCCACGTTATCATGAGCACGAGACGTGGTTGTAAAACACTTTGGGGCTGTTTTGTTACACAGCAAACACTAACCGATACAGTCAGGTTAGAGTTCATTCATTTTCTCTCCCTGAGGTTTGTCACTTTCTCGTTTATTTTTTTTTTTTCCCTTCCTCAGTAGCCTTTTCACCCACCCTTCAGGGCCCTGAGCTCTGGAGGACTAGGCAGAGGCAGAAGGAGAGCTGATGCCCCCCCCACCTGCCCCCAGCTCTGGAAGGACACCACTAAGGAGGGGACCACCAGCGTCAGCAAAGCCCCCAAGACCTGGACCCACCTGAGGAGCTTGGGGACAGAGAACCTGAAGACATCACAGATGATAATGCTGAAGGTCGCCAGGAGGAAGGTGGAGCGGGACATCTGCCAGATGGCTCTCAGCAGCGGGCCCCTCTGGCTCCCTTCTTGCTTCAGCAAGGGCTGCATCTCTGGGGTCTCTACACCACAGCTTCCTTTCCTTTTAGCTGCTCTCGCCTTGGCACACCTTCAGGGACAGGAGAAATTGGCTCTGGGTCATTGCAACAGACTGAAGGTTTGCATTTCCAGCCCCCCCAAACTCATCTGTGGGAACCTTACCCCCAGTGTTGTGGTATTTGGAGGTGGGGCTTTGGGCAGGTGATTAGGTCACAAGGATGGAGCCCTCATGGATGGGATTAGCGCCCTGATAAAACGGGCCCCAGACAGCGCCTTCCTCCTTCTGCCAAGTGAGGACAGAGCGTGGACAAAGCCATCTAGGAAGCAGGCCCCCACCAGACACCACATCGGTGGTATTTTAAATATTCTTACAGGTGGCAGCTGAGTGTCCAGCAAGACCAGGCATTACAGGGCCGTCTTCCTGGCGAGGGGGACGAGTTGGTGTGGATCCAGCTTTGCTCCCTCACCTGTTCTTCTCTGTCCCCCAGAGGACTCCTTTATGAGACAACTGGGCAGGGGAGGGGCCAGGCAGGTGGGCAGCCCTAAGGCGTTACGGCTGGTGATGGGAATGCACACGCATCGAGCACCTCCTGGGTGCCAGGCACGCCTTAGTCCTCCGAAGAAGCTGACAGGCAAGGTGTTACACCCATTTCACAGATGAGGAGATGAAGGTTTAGAAGGAACTAGTCCAAGGGCCCGCAGCGGGAAAGCTGAAGCACTGGGATTTGATCCCAGCCCTGGGCCTCCAGAGCCCAGGTACCTTGCAAGCCGTTGATGAAGCTGCCCCTTTTCCCTCCCACAACTGGCTAGCCCGGAGGTGGTTTAGAGCTGGTCTGGAACCAGTTTAGAATCACAGCTGATGTCCGTGGCCCTGGCACTCTTGGTCTGGATGAAACCACAGGTGGAAGCTTGGGGAAGTTTCGGCAGGGTGGGTGGTGGAGAGCCAGCCGGGCAGGTCCTCAGCTGCTGAGAGCCCAGGGGCAGACGACTGTCCTCTTTGGGCTTCTGTATCCTTGTGCATGAAAGGACAGGGCTGGTCCCACTCTCAGCGCTCCTTCCAGCGCCCACAACCTCTGGGGTTAGCAGTAATTTCAGTGCCTGTTTACAGAGCTGGGACCTGGGATCAGCCCTTTACCTGCACCAGCTTATCGATTTTTCTTACCCTCCCTGCCTGGTGGCTGTCATGGGCTCCCTGTTGTACCTAGGAGGACACGGAGGCTCTGAGAGTGGGTGGCAACTGCCTGAGGTCACACATCAAGGACCGAGCAGGGATTTGAGCCCAGATCTCAATTCATGGAGCACAGAGCACCTCTTTGACCACGGCCCAGCTTCTTGTTTGGTTTGGCGTCTCTGGAGGGCATGGCCTGCTGCCCACAAACATTTTGGTATTTGAGTCTCAAATGCCAAAAAGATGTCACCTTCTTGTCACCTGGCCACCTCTCCCCATCGGCCCATCGTTTAGTTCATTGCCTTCAAAGCCACGCTTACCCTCTCCAACCCTCATCTTTATGTATTTGTCTTGGGTAGACTTCGCTTGTATTCTCCCCACATTTGGCTCCTGAATGCAGTAGGCGATCAATAAATACTTGCCGAATGACTGGGAAAAAACAGTTGTGTGACGGGTGCCAAGGGCCTAACAGGTGTGCCCGGTGCATAAAGTTGTAAAGACGTGTGGAAGGAAGGAAGGCAACCTGGTCTGGTGGACAGCCAGGAGCCTGAGATTCAAATGCCTGCTCTGTCCCCTCGCCCCTGAGCCTCAGTGTTTCCATCTGTAAAATGGGGTGGGCCAGGAGATGACTATGAAGGTCTCTTTCCAGCTGGTTTTTTTCACTCCATTCTGCTCTGGCTGCTCGCCCCAGAATTCTGAATCACTGTGTTCAACCTGCAGGCTCTGTTGCCAGCTCCCTCCTTCCCAGCGGGTCTCACATTCCATCATGGGAGGTCTCTAGATTGGCGTCTGGTCTTTGGTCTCTGGACTGAAGGCCATTTAGTGCAGGGCTTGCACAAGACCACAGGGAGAGGCAGGGGATGTGAGTGAGCGGCCAGGGTCCAAGTTGGGGGAGCAAAAGGGAGGCGTGTGGACTGCGGCAAAGCAAAGAGTGTGTGCCCTGTCCACTGGGGCAGCTGTTACCCAGATCCACTCCCTTGTTGCTATTTAGGGATGTGACTTAGCACTGCCAGTCTCCTTTATTTTTTCATTTTTTAAAAGATTTATTTATTTATTTTAGAGAGCGAGTGCAAGCGGAGGAGGGGCAGAGGGAGAGGAGAGAGAGAATCTCAAGCAGACTCCCCGCTGAGCACAGAGCCCAATGTGGAGCTCAGTCTCACGACCCTGAGATCATGACCTGAGCCAAAATCAAGATTCAGATGCTTAACTGACTGCGCCATCCAGGCATCCCCTGCCAGCCTACTTTAAAAGAGACCAGAATTCCAGATTTTTACATGAAGTCTCCAGTGTTTTAAATGTTGGCACCTTAAAAAAAAAAAAGTCCCAAATAACAACAACAGTAAACACCACGTGGACCAAACATACCTCTGTGAACCTCATCTGGTCAGCAAGTGGCTTGTTCCTGACTTCTCAGGATGACATCCTCTCCCTTCCCCCCAGAATTGCAAAATACTTTGGAAATAAAACCAAAGTTCTCTTCATGTGTAATCAGTCAGCTCCGAAAATAACTGAGCTGGGTCTCGGTCTGGCCATGCCTTCCTCCTTTCTTTCTGTTAATTGCTACGGATTCTTAAACTGTTGTGAAGAATGTTTGTGCCCCAAGTTCTCGTGCCCCAAGGGGAGGTGACAGCTGGGAGAGAGTGGGCAGGACCTTGAGGGTCCTTCTGAATGAATTCTGCCACTTAAAAATCTTGTATGAGTGGAGGGGCAGGACAGCAAGATAGGCCTGGAGAATGAGTTGCTGTTTTGATGTGCTCATATCATTTACCCCTTTAGCGGAATCACACCCTACTGTGGCTCTGAAGGGACCGCCAAGTATGGGGGCCTGACCCTGGCTATGGTACTGGTCCCTGATTGGCACATGACTGGAGCCAGCCAATCAGAGGCCTTCCCTAGCATTTTCTATATGGATGCTAGGAGAGACACTCATTTTGCAGGAGTTGCTACACTGGCAGGATATGAGATAGGCCGCGGCACAGACATCAGCTGAGCTGAGAGATGGAGAGAAAGAATTTGAACATTATGCAAGTCCCTGGATCCAGCCACACCTGAAGCTAGACTACCTTCTCAATTATGTGAGCCAATAGACATCTCTCTCTCCCTTTTTCTAATTTGTAGGATTCAGCTATCTACAACAACTGCCCCAAATCCTAGAGTATACAGGAGAACCCCGTAACTCTTCCCACAGAGCTAAGTCACTTTTGTCTGTCCCCTGAAACACCAAGGTCATGTGATTTGTCCAAGGCCATCAACTACGCAATGGCAAGACTGCATTTAACCCACGTTTAATGAATCCTATGTTGACCGCTCTTTTCGGTAGGTCAGAGGTTCCCAGACTGGGTTTCTCAGAGTCAGAGGGGACCACAGAAGTTTCCAGAGATGCCACAGAGGGCAGGAGTGAGGCAGAGTGGACAGGACTAGAAAGAGCTTGAAATCCTCTGGATAATGGATACTGTTTGAGCTTTTACCATTTTTGAGGTATTCACTAAATTCGTTTCCAAAATCCGCATGAGCTATGAGCCAGGGCCTAATGGCATGCCCATTGAACAGATGAGAAAACCGAGGACCAGGAAACCAATCCCTCAGGTTAAGTGGTAAGTAGCTGCATGCATGTTATGGACCACCACCCAACCCTCCACTCCCCTACTCCCCGCCCGCCCCCGTTTCCTGCCTGCCATCCCCCCATTCAAGCTTCCTTCTGGGGGCCCCGAGGAGCACCCACTGTGTCCTTTGAGAGCCTGCAAAGCTCTCTGGAAGGAAACGTCCCTTGACCCTAGTCAGTTATTGCTTAGTGGGATCGGCTGTCAGGTAGGGGACTATGGCACTGGAGCCCAGAGTAGGGTCTGGGGTTGTATTTGGGGCCAGATGATGGACTTTGCTCACCAGGCATGGGGCCACACTCTCATTTTTCACACACTCACCGCTGGGCCGCACTGCGGTTCCTTTTCCATTCCCTTTCGAACTGGGAAACAAGTTCTTCTGAGGAGTTTTCTCGGCTAAGCGACCAGAGGTCTTCTGGCCCCAGCGGCCTCCTGTAGCCCCTCCAGACCAGCCTGTGAAAGGTCACCAGGGCAAGCTCCTGAGGCCATTCCCCCTGCAAGGTCCTGACCTGGTCCAGACCCCTCTGCACCTCTGCTGGCCCCTCAGGAAAATGAAAGCAATTAACCTAACCACACCTAACATTTGTGGGGTACTTCCCAGTTTACAAAGAACCATCTCATTAAATCTCACGTGATAACTATTGACCCATTTTACAGATGAGGAAATAAAAAATCGAGGCTCAGAGAGATTAAATGACTTAAACAAGGGACGACCTGCGTGGCGAGGGAAGTAAACCTCCCTAGGCGTCAGATGTCCGGAGTTGGACACCTGAATTCTACCCTCAGCTTTCCCCGTTATAAATTCCTTTCCTGAGCTTTTCTTTATAATACTTGCTGCAATTATGATTTACTTTTTTGGTCTGGTTATTTATTGAGTGTCTTTCTCCATTACCATTGAATGGTAGGCTCCACGGAGACAAAGAGTATTTACCTTTATTCTCCTCCTCTGTATCCTCGCCTCCTGACACAGGGCAAAAGGTTTGTCAAGTGAAGCCATTTACCAGGTCTGTGACCTTGGGCAAGTCACTTCCCATCATTAGACCTCAGTTTTCTCACTTGAAAATGAAGAGTTTCCCAACACTTGAGACTAGTACGTGAGATGATTGTAGATGGCACAGTGTTGGAGGAGGTCATGGAGAGGACGTGACCGCTGGTTGTCCCGTAAGCTGGACGGGGGCAATCGGAGTCTCCTCACCTGTCCCCTGTCCTTGGAATGGATGTTCTGCCCACTCTGCCATTACAAAGCAGCCTTGAGACAGCAATGTGTTATCGAGACCATCTGGATGGTAGATGGGACTGAACCCTGTTGAACCCTCCGCATAAACTAAGATTCTGGCGGGGTAGGTGCAGAGATCTCCTCGTCTTGTGGCCGCCCAGGACAAGTCTCGCAAGTTCCCTTGCTTATTAAAGCTGCCACCTGCCAATAGGAATGGCCTTCCTCTTTCTTCAGTCTCTCCTTGCCTTCCAGGTATGGGGGCCAGTTTGTGAACCAACACACATAGACAAGAAATTAATTACTATAGACTTCTGTGGCGGGAGTGTTGCTTCTCAGGTCTCTGTGATCTTTCTGGTAATACCAAGGAAAAGGTCTCGCTTGGTGCTGGTCCTTAGTTCCCTGTCTGAGACTTTCCAAGTTCCTTTTTCTTTTTTTTTTAGAGAGGTGGGGGACAGACGGAGAAGGAGAGAGAATCTTAAGCAGGCTCCATGCCCAGCACAGAGCCCAATGCAGGGCTCGATCTCATGACCCTGAGATCATGACCTGTGCCGAAATCAAGAGTTGGACGCTTAACCGACTGAGCCACCCAGGCGCCCCTCCAAGTTCCTTTTTTTGTTTAATCCAGGGCAAACTCAGGCAATCTAGTGCTGATCTAGAAGTTATTAACATGGCTTGGTTTTCACTGGAATTTTTGGGGGAGGAGAGCTACATGGCAAGTGATTTAATAGATTTTTCCAACTTGGCAGTGATAGAAAGTTTCCTTTTAAAAAAGTTTATGAAGGGGCGCTTGGGTGGCTCAGTCAGTTAAGCGTCTGCCTTCGGCTCAGGTCGTGATCCCAGGGTCCTGGGTTTGAGTCCTGCATCAGGCTCCCTGCACAGTGGGGAGCCTGCTTCTCCCTCTCCCTCTGCCTGCCACTCTGCCTACCTGTGCTTCCTCTCTGTCAAATAAATAAATAAAATCTTAAAATAAAATAAAATTAAAAAACCAAAAAAGTTTATGAAAGTATAAAAAGTGAGTTGATTTCCAGAAAAAAGACATTAAGTAAAGAGAGGACAATAATACCCCAATAAGGCAAAAAGCTTAAAGAATGGTCCATAAATGCCATGTTTGGGAGACAGAGAGCTAGGTCCTCTCTAGAGCTAGTTAGCAAACCTGTATGCACTTCCCACCCATTCCTCACCCCCTAGAGCATCCTATTCTTTGTGTATTTACCAGCCACTTTGTACAATACTCATTAAGGGCCATACGCTATGCTAAGTGCCTCACAAGACTTATTTCACTTAATCCTCACCACCCTACAAGGTAGATGCTGTTATTATCCTCATTTTACAGGCACAGGGACTGAGACACAGAGAGGTTAAGTAGCTTGCCCAGGGTCACACAGCCCGGAAGTGGTGGGGCTAGGATTCGAATCCAGGTGCTACCAAGATCTGACTGCAGTGTGGCCAACAGGGGACCCAGCAATGTGGGCGCACCCTGAGCGCCTGGCACGCTGGACCTGGAGAAACATCTGTGTTCTCCACCAGCCTGGGAGCCTCTGGGGAGTAGAAATGTGGTCTTTTACCTCCTCAGTGCCGGTGTTTAGCACACAGTAGGTGCTTCTTAGCGTTGGTGGAATGCATGAAGCCAAGTAATTGATACAATTTTGCTGAGCACCTGCTGCGCACCAGCACTAAGCATTTTACATTTAATGAAGGTAGAGTTGTTCCCCTTTTCAGAGGGGCAAACTGAGACTCTGAATGTTTGCCATATGGGTCGGCTAAGAGCGAGAGCCAGGACTCAAACCCAGACCTCACTCCAGTGGAGGAATGGGAACGGTATGTGGATATTGGGCACATTGAAATCTGACAGAGAAGCACCAAGGCTGGGAGGAAGAAAGCCTGGCTGACCTCCATAGGCTTGGGAGGAAACGTCTCGGGGGGAAAGGTGGGATGACAAATAAGGGCAGCAAATGCAGGAGGTGGGGGCACCACCTCAGCCCCTTTCCTGCTACTTTACTTACCCAGAAATCCACCAGAACATGACCCTGGAGGGGAAGGAAGCTTCAGCCTCTGGACATGGGTTCTGTAAAGACAAGAGTCGGGGTGGAGGGAGGACTCGATCTCGTGTTCCATGGCCAACGTAAGGCAAGGGAACCAAGGTCAGGAAGACAGGAGGAACGGTCCATGAGCTTGGTCCCGAGAGTGCTCATTGACATGCCCTGCCTACTTGGCGGAGGTGCTTGGTGCTTCCTAGCAGGCAAGGCGAAAAGGGACTACGCCACAAGTCTGACAGCATCCACAAGAACTGTTTCCCAGAGGAACAACTGTTATGAATACTGAGACCAAGAAGTTCTCAAAGCAGGAGCATGCATGACACAGACACTAACATCCTCGACCATATCCCTCAGGGAATACGGCGAGAAGATGCAGAGGGATCCGTCCTGAGACCCTGCCAGAAAATTCCCATGCATCTACCCCCTTCACCAACAGGGCACAAGACTCCCTACGTCACCATATGTGTACCATTATGGCTCATTATCAATTTTTGATTTTTTTCTTCCATTCTCCTAGAACAAAAAAGCTCTACCGGAGTTTTCACTTGATTACTCGCATAGCTGAGCTTTTTTTTTTTTTTTTTTTGAGGTGATCTCTCCCTCAGAATTCTTTCCTGATTTCACAGGCTAGCTCAGGGCTCCCTGTTGTCAACTCTCGTGGGCCATGAATTCCTCCTGCAGGGCCCCAGTGGTAATTTCGCACATGTTTGTAGAATTCATGTGGTTAACGTCTGGTTCCTCGACTTGGCTGTTAGCTGCGTGGGGATGGGGACTGCATCTGCTTGTTTACCCTAGGTCCTCAGCACCTAGCTGGGGCACAGAGCATGGGCTGACAGCCTGCAGCCCCCTGGTCCAGATCTGGCACACTGCCTGTCTCTGCAAATGAAGTTTTATTGGAACACAGCCAAGCTCACGCCGCAACAGCAGAGTTGAATGTCAGAAGAACCATATGGCCCACAAAGCCTAAAACATTGTCTGTCTTGCCCTGATCAGAAAAAGTGGGCCAACCCATGGCATAGAGTAGATATACAATACTCATTCTGCTGAATGAAAGAATGAATGAAACATTATGAAAGGCTTGTGCTCTAGTCTAGCTCCCTTCTGTTCCACGGGGAGACCGAGACCAGAAGTGGAACAGGGACAAGGGAGGCACCGGGCTGGAGGCACGGCAACTTACAGACTGCTGGGGGTCTTCAGGGAAGAAGGGTGGGTGATCGACAAGGCAGGACAGCACAAACTGGGCTACCACCAGCGACAAGCACAGGTAGGTCGACAGGTGGTAGAAGGGGTCGCTCTGGAAGCCCTGTGGAAGAGAAAGCAGAAGTCCCACTGAGTCTGGAATGCTGAAGTCCGTAGCCTGAGCAGCAGTCTTTATAGGCATTGTTTCAAGTCCCTCCCTACCCTGACCCTAGCTGGAGTCTCCTTGTTCTGTTCACTCATGTGGAGACTGGGGCTCAGAGAAGCGGTAGCACCTTGCTCAAGGGCACACACAGGATCTGATCCAAACCACAAGCTTTTGCTGTCACGGCATGCCATGATTGCTTTGACGTCCGTTGCCCCTCCAGTCAGAGCCCCTTAATTTGTTTTCCCATGCTCAGGTATGTGGTTTATGCAGAACTGACTCCATTCCAGTCTGGGCAGGTGACTGAGGTCTGATCAAGGAGAATGTTCCAGTCCCCTGGCTACTGTGATTGCGTTAGGAATGGATGCTGGACCCACACTGGGCCGATGAGAGCTAGAACCATCGGGAGATCTTCCATCCAGTTTGCTACACTGGAGGAACATAGGTCTGGAGCAATTGGTGGCTCTTGTTGCCACCCCACTGGGGAGTGAAGCTAACATGGCAGAGCCAAGAGACAGAGGGAAATGGAGATCTGGTGTCATCTGGACACCTGGATCAGCTAAGGCCAGGAGATCCCCCATTTATGAGCAATAAATTCCTTTGGAATTTTTCCCCTTTAAGCTAGTGTGAGTTGAGTTTTTGTGGCTTAAAACAAGAGCCCTAGTTTCAAATTGCAATTCCTCTACTGGATTTCTATACTCTTCTGTTTTTGTTTCTTGCAGATCATAGATAATTTGATATTCCAAATACATTATGGCCCACCTTCCCTATACTGCTATTTTTACTACAGTTTCTATCGGGTAGGGGAGATGGACTTGAGCTCTGCACTCCTGGGCTGTGTGACCTCAAGGAAGCCATTCACAATTCTTAGCCTTGGTTTCCTCATAAAACGGGACTGTTGGAATCCACCACAAGGCGTTCTTGCGAGAACTCAACGAAGCCATGATGTAAAGGAGCCTGCCCCGGGGCCCAGCGTGGGGCTGGGGCTCCAGAGCATGTGAGTTCACGATATTATTATTTTTGTGCTTTGTCCATCAACTGTGGGACCCTCGCTTTTCACAAATCAGTGGATGGCCTGTGGAATTTTCCCATCAGTTACAAACTCAGTTACAAAGATTACTTTGTAAAAATCTGTCCCTAAGAACCAAATGGCATGGCGTTCCTCTGCCTTTTCCTTTCAGGAGCAGGATGGAGCAACCATTTAGCTCGAGAAATGATGATCTACAGCATGTTGCAGCGGGCCTCCCGATCAGATGTCTTGGGTGGGCATGCCGTCTACGCGGGCAGTTTTCAACTGGGGCAAATCTGTCCCCAGTGGATGTTTGGCTATGTCCGCAGACATTCTGGATTACCATAAGGGGAGGTGTGCAGTTGGCATCTAGTGGGTGGAGGCCGGGGATGCTGTTTAACACCCCAAAATGCAAGAACGGGCTCCCGCCGCCCATCTCTTCTTGCCCAGTGTCCTGAGGTTGAGAAACCCTGGCCTCTATAAACCTTGAAGGCTCTGGAAGGCGGGTGCAGAGATCTGTTTGTCTTGCAGCACCTGGGACAAGCCTCGTAAATCCTCTCGCTTACGAACCCTGCCCCGTGCCGTCTGGAGTGCTCTGCCTCTTCCTTCATCTGTCCTTGCCCTCTGTGTATGGGGCCACTTTCAGATTTCACCCGGGAAGCTCCTGCGGTTGTGAACCAGCAGCGTCCCTGTGCCCCGGGTGGGGAGGGAGGGGGAGGATGTGTGAATAGATGCGCCGTCTGGGAATGTGGGACACGTGGGCCTGAGTCGCGTGGGAGCTTGAAGGCACGGATACACTGGGTGGTGGCAAACGTGGATGGCTGTGTGCAGGTGTGTGTGTCTCAGTCTGTGGTTGTGAGATGCACAAAGGGGGGCACAGAGGTGTGTGTCGGGGGTGCAGGTAAAGTGTGTGACGTGCGCGTGTCAGGCGGTGGGAATTTGTGTCCGAGAAGAATGTATGGGATGATGGGTGCACCTGTGTGAGGGAGTGCACCTGTGCATCGCTGGAGTTTAAGCAACCGTGGTGTGTGTCTCTGTTTAGACAAGAAGTCATGTGTGGAAAGGGGAGGAGGAAGGACAGGGCCCAAGGCTTGAAACTGCCATATCGGTCCTCCCGGGCCTCCACTTACCCCTTGCAAGGCCAGCTGGGCAGCACTGGTAGCTGGCAAGGGAAAGCACAGCAGCCAGTATCCAAACAGCACCCCGGATGTCCGGACCCCCTTCTTCCTCTCCGTGTGGATCAGGAACATGGCGAAGCTCTGGACAGGAGAGTCAGGATGGGCCCCTTAAGGTGGGGAGGGAGAAAGGGAGCCCCGCTCTGCCCCACACCCTCCACGAGGGCAGGAAAAGCCACAGCCAGAAGCAAGACCAGCAAGCCTGGGTCATCATTACCATCGTGGTGAGCCACACGGTGGGATGAATGAGGAATTCTGGGGCCTGGGGCGTTCCCCGCTGGATTCTCCAAAGAGCCACAGACACGCTGGAGGTGCACAGCATTATGAGGGTGAGCCCAAGCACCTGGGAAACAGGCTTAGATAAGGCTGGTGGGCAAAAAGAAAAGTGATGGCAAACTGGACAGTGACCCCGTGCCCAATTGGACAGTGGCTCTGGATGAGGCACCTGTTAAGGTACCAGTGTTATAATTTAACAGTGCCAATGTAAAAGATGCTTAAGAAAAAGCAGGAAGGGCTGTTGCAGATGGATCTTGACCTGTAAATGTCCTATAAATAATGCGCCACAGGGGTCTGAGCCAACCCAGTGTTTCCCAAAATGCAGGGGTGGGGTGGGGTGGGGTGCACCAAGAGTGGACAGGAGAGATGCTTTATGTATGAAGAAGTGGCATGAAACGACATTTGCTCAGCAGGTGAAAAAGTTCCACTCTCTTCGAGTCCCTTTTGAGCCCTCCTATTAAATCAAGGAGAAACTCTCTGCTGGGACTGGTATGTCTCTAGACCCTTCTCTAAGATGCGGTGGTCTCTCTTTTGAACGAGAGAAAGCGACACGGTGCATGCAGGTGAGAAAGAAGACAGGACCTGGGCGCATTGAGAAACTATTGTAAGCACCTCAGTTAGTCCAAAGCAGGGCTCAAACTACTACCGGCAGGCTGAGTTTGACACGCTGCCTGTTTTTATATCATCTGTGAGCTAAGAATGGTTTTGACACTTTTTTTTTTTTTAAGTAGGCTCCATGTCCATCGTGGAGCCCAACGCAGGGCTTGAACTTACGATCCCGAGATCAAGACCTGAGCTGAGATCAAGAGTCCGATGCTTAAGAGATGGGGCCACCCAGGTGCCCCTGGTTTTGACATTTTTTGATCATTGAACAAAACTCAAAAAAGGTACAATGTGTCATGACATGTAAAAAGTATATGAAATTCAAATTTCAGTGACTATCGAGAAAATGTTACTTAAAACACAGTCATGTCTGTTTATTCACTGTTGCCTGTGGCCACTTTCCTGCTGCAGAATAGCTGGGTGGAGACCACATGAGCCTCAAAGCCTCCAATATATACTCTCTGGCCCTTTAAGGAAGAGCATGCAACCACTTGATAGGTGGTCAGCAATAGGAGAAAAATTAACAAGGTGTTATGGGAATAAATGAACCTTGAAGGACATTCTTGTAGAAATTTGGAGAAGGGGCAGATGAGCAGAAAGGCTCACAGGTGGAAAGCCAGTGTTTCTGTAACACACGAAAACAAATACATTACAATTTTAAGAACTGGTTTTTAGAACTGCCAGTGGAGAAGCATGAAAATCAACGTGTGACTGTTAAAAAACTTAAAAAGTTTATCCCAGCACCATCCTAAAATCCCCTTGTGGATCCCAGGAGTAGACACTGCACACTCTGGGGGAATGCCAGGTGATGGTGTTCATAAACTGGCCGGGAACATACGAGGGTCTAGATGTGTGTGTCTGCAGACGCGTGGATTTTATTATCATGAAATCTGTGTGGGACGGATCTTGTTCCACAGAGTTTTTCTTCTGTAGCCTCTGAAGTATTGCTCTGTTTGATGAACAGGTTCCCCTTCTTATCCCCACACTGTGTGTTCCTCGAAAGGAGGAATGTCCACTTCAGGGGTCTCAGCCCGGTTCCAGCCTGCTCCCCCCCACCTCCCAACCCTTGTCTGCTTACAGGCTCCCAGAAGCAGCAGTTACCAGTTTGGCCTTGAAGAGCAGGGACATCCGGAGGTAGCCTCGGCCATGGCGGTGGATGTATAGGAGGTAGATGGGGCCAAGGACCCAGAGGTACATAGGGGGCACCCAGACCCCTGCCGTTTTCAGGAAGCACACATTCAGTAGGTGGGCAGCAGTGGGCTCAGGCTCCGTCCAGTTCCAAACCTGAGGGAACACCAGGGCCACCCTTGTAATGCTACAATGCAGGGGTCCCAAACTCACCTGATTAGGGAAAAGGCAACCTTTTGGACTCCTTTTTTTTTTTCAAGATTTTATTTATTTATTTGACAGAGAGAGAGAGAGAGCACAAGCAGGGGGAACGGCAGGAAGAGGGAGAGGGAGAAGCAGGCTCCCCGCTGAGCAGGGAGCCTGATGAGGGGGCTCAATCCCAGGATGGATCATGACCCGAGCTGAAGGCAGACCCTTAACCAACTGAGCCACCCAGGCGCCCCAACCTTTTGGACTCCTAACATTGACGTGAAAATGGGCCAAGCACTTTTTGGAGTACCTTGAAATTCTCAACTCCTTTAATGCTAATAACATCAACACTAAGAAGTAGAGACAACTATCATACTGATTTTGCATAGAAGGAAGCGGAGGCCCAGAAAGTAAATAGTTTGGGTGATTGTCATCCAGGTGGAAAGTGGAGGTGCCAGTTATCTTTCTTGACTGCTCCCCACTTCACCACTGGCCAACACTAGGAATTTCAACCTCCCTGTGCTTCAGTTTCCTTCCCGGAAAAGGGGAGGGGTGGTGTGAAGAGATTCTACCTCTAAAGGTTGCATTAAATGGGTTAATACCAGTAAAGCACATAGTAGGATGCTGGGCACAAAGTAAGCCCTCAGTTAACATCAGTTATTATTACTGCCTTACCTACCTGGCCCCTGAAATCCTGGGAGTTGGCGACTCTCACTCCCACCCCCTGAACGTCACTCCCCAGAGTCCTTTGCTAAGAACCTGGATCAAAGAGGAAGCCAGCCAGAGAGGCGGGGGTCCTGAAGCTTTTATGCAAATAGAGGTCAAAGCCCGCCGGCAGCTGGGAGGTCTGGAGGCCCCATTAGCGGGGTTGGGGTCTGGGTGCGGGGGGGGCACGATCTGTTAAACGGGTCGCTGTTCTTCTGGCTGAGAATTTAGGGGTCTCTCCCCTCCCCAGTATCGCCGCCTTAGAGAGCTGTCGGAGAGATCTACCCAGCCCGGAAAAGGAGAGTAGGACAGGAGGGGGACACTTACCTCCTGTCCCACACAGGGCTCTGCAGGCACAGCCATCGCGCGTCTCCCGGTGCCCGTCTGTCTGTCCGCCCCGCAGTATGTCGGTCGGTCCCTGGGCAACCTCCTCGGCCAAGCTCCGGGTCCTGGAAGGGGCGGGGACTGGCAGGTTTGGCTGAGATTTGAGCTCGGGGATTGCCAAGCCCAGGGCAAGGTCCCGCCGCGCGGCAGGGGTGGGGCGTGAAGGGGTGAGAAGAGGCGATTGGAGGGGGCGCCGGGGGAGGGGATCCCGGAGCCCCAGAAAGTGCAGCTGGTGGGCGCCTGGGTGGCTCAGTCGTTAAGCATCTGCCTTCGGCTCAGGTCATGATCCCAGGGTCCTGGGATCGAGTCCCACATTGGGCTCCCTGCTCGGCAGGAAGCCTGCTTCTCGCTCTCCCACTCCCCCTGCTTGTGTTCCTGCTCTCGCTATCTCTCTCTCAAATAAATAAATAAAATCTTTAAAAAAAAAAGAAAAGAAAGTGCAGCTGGTATCCTGGTAAAACCCTCCAGCCCCGCAACAAATGGGATGAACACTGTCTCTAGGGAGATTTTCAGATCACGAATAGAGTTTAGCACAGTGTCCAGCACACAGTAAATGCTCAGTAAGAATTAGCGATTATTAGCATTAGTGGTGTTATTTCATGCATAGGTTACTAAGCAGGGGATCCCAGTGCCATATCAGAAATATAATATGGAAAGGTGGTTGCTACATGCTAAATGAAAAAAAAAATTATAATACAAAATAGGCTATGATATTTTTGCAAAAAAAAAAAAAGTATATACTTAGGTTGTGGAAAGTGGGGAAGGAAGCCAAATCTTTCCCTTCCTCTTCCTGCTCCTTAAAGCAAGGTGTGTGTTCCCAGCCAGCAGCTCTTTTTGGAAAAACCCCTATGTAACCTATATGCATAGATGAAAAATGGAAATGCACTGCAGCAGTGATCATGGGAATCCTAATTTTCTTTTCTTTTTCCTTTCCTTTTATGTTTTTTCTTTCTGCCACAAGCATGCATTCCTTTTGCGAGAGAAATGAAAAGACAGCTTCTTCAGGTGAGCATCATCTGCACTTCCCACACTGCCCTGGCCCTTCTCTGCAGGTTTTTACCCCTGCCCTCCTGCATGCCCTCCACTGTGTGGGTTCCCCCTTTCTTTTTGGGTTTCCCTAACCATGGTCTGGGAGGGTGCCTTTCAGCTGTCCTCCTGCCTGGGTCTTCTGGAAGAGCAGGGACACAAAGAAAAACTCAGTTTTGAAGCTGAAGGTGGCAGGTCTGCTGTTTACATTTATAAGGTAAGTCTGTTTATTTGAGGTGATTTTGGTGGAGGCTGATGGAAATTAGGGGGAGGCTTGAGCCCTCTCTGTCTGGGAGCCCGCCTCCAGATGGCATTGCCACACTCATAGTGCTTTATTTTATTGTATATTTGAAGATGAATTTGAGGGAAATGGTGGAAATTTGAGGGGGAATGTTCAGGAAGTGAGGAAGAACACAGAGGAAATCAGTTGGGTGAGCCAAGAACAGAACTCAGGCACACTAAAGCCTACTTTCCAGTCCTCTGAATAGTAACGGCTGCGTGCAGAGCACTAGACAAGTCCCTTCACACACACCCCCTTCCTCGGTTTCCTATTCTGTATAGTAAGAAGTTTCCACAGGCCAGCATTTCCTAATTGGTGGCTTTCAACCCCCTGGGGATTTGCCAAGACAAACCAGGGATTCATGCTAGGGAGAAGAAAGGGGATCTGTTTCAACTGTAGTTATGAATAGTAAACCCCAGAGGTGCCTGGGTGGCTCAGTCGGTTAAGTGTTTGATTCTTGATTTCAGCTCAGGTCATGATCTCAGGGTTATGAGATCAAGCCCCACATTGGGCTCCACACTGAGCACGGAGTCTGCTTGAGAGTCTCCCTCTCCTCCCTCTGCCTCTCTCCTCCCTAAAATAAATAAATAAGTAAATAACCCCAATAAATAAAATAATTTAACTTGTTTCTCTTTAAAACCAAAGAGTTGAGAATGCCACTGTATTTTGAGAATGCAGACTGAGAAACTGAAATCAGATGTGCTCACAATTGAGATCCTCAGTGGATGTATCATTCCATTGTAGCCATTATGAAAGTTTTGACTGTTGCATAGTTTAAGCTTGCTGTGATTCGTAGTTGTATATTGCTGAAGTCTTAGTCACAACGGCAAATTCTAGTGGGAAATTTTCTCTCTTACCTGGTCATGTAGAAACAAAATACAAAAACTATCAAAGCACTTGTTTCTTTCTTAGGACAAAAGAGAAGAATTCCAATATCAGGTCAGAAAAGCAATTTTTGTCCATTTTGATGTGGTGACTTGCAGTTAAATGCAGTTTTGGTCATAGTAAACATTCAGTCTTGGGACAAAACACAACATGCTGAGATTTGAACTTATTTTCTGACAACTCATGCTTCTGGTGCCAGACAATGCAAAGTAAATTAACTGCTTGATTTCTTGCCTATGGGAGGAAAACCCCCAAATGTGTTTCTATACAAATGTTATTAGAGCTGAGATTAAAGTAAGTTTTAGGGGCACCTGGGTGGCTCAGTCAGTTAAGCGTCTGCCTTCGGTTCAGGTCATGATTCCAGGGTCCTGGGATCGAGCCCCGCATCAGGTTCCCTGTTCAGCGGAGAGCCTGCTTCTCCCTCTCCCTCTACCTGCCGCTCTGCCTACTTGTGCTCTCTTTGTCAAATAAATAAATAAAATATTAAAAAAATAAAATAAATAAAATAAGTTTTAAATGTCCTTTTTTTAACATTATGCTGACTTAAATAACCTATGTATTGATTTTTAAAAAGTATTGATCACTGAGCAGGGAGCCCAATGTGGGGATCCATCCCAGGACCCTGAGATCATGACCTGAGCCCAATGCAGATGCTTAACCAACTGAGCCACCCAGGCGCCCCAACGGGGAGTCTGCTTCTCCCTCTCCCTCTGCCCCTTCCCCTGCTCCTTCTCTCTCTCTCTCAAATAAATAAATAGAATCTTAAAAAAATAAAAAGTATTGATCATTTACTACAGAAAAATGCACCAACTTAAATTCCTAAAGGGTTTTTGAGATTATATATCGTCTGTGAAATATACGTGCCAAAAAGATTCGGGAAAGTTGTTGGATACTTCGATCAACAGTCTTTCGTCATTTCCAGTTTCGGCAATATTGACTTCCGAAGTATAATTCAACTTTGGAGTTTGTGCCTGTACCGGGCACCTTGCAACTGCACCCGCCAGACGGTGCGCGGAGTCCTCCAGGCCTCCAGAGGGCACAAATGATCTCGTTTTTGTGGCTGAGCATGCGCCTTGGTTAACTTGTCTGGGGCGGTGGGCTTGAGGCCGGAGCGCGCACGCGCGGCGGCGGGGGGCGGGGCCTGGGCTGTCAGCCGCCGGCAGAAGAGGAAGCCGCAGGCCGCGCGCGAAGCAAGGGGCGGGACCGGGAGGCCTGTGGTGGGTCGGGCGGCAGAAGCCGGGCCATGCGGGCGTGCGGGGGTTTGGGGCCGCCGGGGCCGGTGGCGGTGGCCGCCGCTGTGGTGCTGCTGCTGAGCGGCGTGGATCCGGCGCGCGGCTCCGAGGACATCGTGGTGGGCTGCGGGGGCTTCGTCAAGTCGGACGTGGAGATCAACTACTCGCTCATCGAGGTGAGCGCCCAACCCCGCGGCCCGGGCCGGAGCTCGTCGTGTGACCCTGGGCCAGTCGCTCAACCTGTGCGGGCTGCGGTGGCCTCGCCTCATCCGCCAGGCAGTTGCCACTAGCTCCACATTCTAGGAGTCCTTGCCTCCTCGAAGGCTCCACTTTCCGCGGGCTCTCCACCATCCCGTCCCCTCCGTGTCGCGCTAGGGTGGAGGTTCCTGTCGTGGGGTCAGCTGCGGAGTGGGGTTGGGGGCCTAGAGGTGTGCGCGCAGGGGGCGTGAGGGACATTTTTGGTGACGATGTTGGTGGTTCATAACTTTTATCAGGTCACTCAAAACGAAGGATCCCCCAAATCAGGACCCCAGGTTCTTCAGAACTCAAACTCCAGAAACCCAGAATCCACATCCCAAGATGATAGGGGACTCTGACCGTCCCTAGAATCCAGGCCCCAGATCTCTTAAAACGCACTCTCTGGCTGTGTCTCTCTCTAATAAATAAAATTAAAAAAAATAAAATAAAAACCCACTCTCAACAGGACCCAGGCCCCAGATCCTCAAAACTCAGACCCCCTGAAACTTAGATTTCCTGAAAGCCGTATTCCAGAACCTAGAGACTGCAAGTCTTATCCCCTAGCCCCACAACTCAGAGCCCCCAAAGGTTCTAATCCACTCCTCTTCAACCCTCCCCCGGGGATGCTTTTAGAGGGCATTGATTCTCATCCCAGAGATCCTGACCCAGTTCATCTCTATTGGCATTTCTGGGGCTGGGAAACTGTGTTTTTAATCTCCCCCATTCCTCCCTTGGGGACTCCTTTTTCCTTTGTGAAGGTAGAGTTGTCAGCTGCCCTGATTGCCTTACTGGGTAGTTATTGGAATTATGCTAGAGATTTGTGCAGAAGTCTTTTTTATTAAGTTGTAAAGCCCCATGCAGTTACGTGATTATCAACCCAGTGGGACTGTGACCCAGAAAGCTTTTGTGAAGAGGATGGTCACTTGTCAGCATAGATGGGAAGGGACCTGATGGAGGGCTGACCTCTGTTTTAGGAGGGTACTGATGATGGGGCAGGAGGAGGGAATTTGAAAGAGAAAAAAAGGAAGAGGCTAGGAGATGCCAAAGAGAAGGGACTGTGGGGGGACTAAGACCCCCAAAGGCTGACTGAAAGCACATTTGAGCCTCGCCAGTTCTGGCAGTTCAAGGACTGCAGTGAAGGATTAAACCAGTATGTTCTACAAATCTGGTTGCTGAGGTTCTCGGCAAATCTGGTTGAACATCGGTTCCACACCCCACTAGGTCTTTCACCTGGCCTTGTTCCAGATCCCAATTTTTGTTCCTGTAGGATGGGGTTGAGACAGAAGCAGCAGAACCCAGTACAATGTATTTCCTAAAGAAGATAATTATCACCTTCAAGACCCGTCTGTGGCTTCTCTGCCGTTTTTTATCTTAAGTCATGTGTTTAGTGAATCTACCCAATGGCAGTGGCAAGGTCCCTA